CGCTGCAGAGCTGCCCCGTGCCCCTCCCCCGTGCTCTGTGAAACTCTCCACTTGATCTGAGCTCTCTCTCCAAAGCTGTGTGTGGCCCAGGGGAGCAGGGTGGGGAGGGCCCCCTCGGGCCCAGAGGGCTTCCTTAGGTACAATAAATGTTGCACAGACGACGCCCTGCCCGGTGAAGTCTCTCACCAGCCCCCTCCGGGGCCTTGAGGTCCTCAGCCCTGCTCCCGGTGGGAGTGAGGGTGGGACAGGGGGCTGGCACACGGCACACGGAGCCCTGATCGCGTCACTTTGGCTTGGACTTCTGAAAGGCCCCAGAGCATGTGTCCTTCATTCACCAGAAGAGACCCACGGCCCGAGGAGGGGGAGCAGCTTGCTGCCCTGTGATCGGAGCAGGCAATGTTGGTTTCTCTCTCCTGGTTCCGTTGCCATAGAAACCAGAGCATCATCACAAACAGGGTCGCAGAGGCTACAAGTCTCCTGACACCTGGCCTTGTCTTAACGTGCCCTGGCACTGTCTTCATGCCTTAACCCACCCATTTGGCTACAAAGGCTGAGATACGAAGGGAAAGCTGTCTAAATACTGGCTCCTGTGAGCAGGTTTCAGAGGGAGGCCATCGTCAGCCCTCTCGAAGGCCCCACACTTGAGAGGCAGGAAGCCAGCTGTGTGCCCTCCACCGCATCCTCCCATCCTCCCATGACTTGGGGGGAGCCGGGCAGGAGCCGCCAGCCTGTTTTGGGTGCTGCAGGTGAGACCGCTGAGGATCGGCACTTAGGGCACTTTTTCCAGGTCTGAGTCTCTCTGACTGACACCACCCTGTTTTTCCATGGAAGTCAGTCTGGAGAAGGAAATGGCAATCCACTCCAGTGTTCTTGCCTGGAGAATCCCATGGACAGAGGAACCTGGTGGGCTGCAGTCCATGGGGTCGCAAAGAACCAGTTATGACTGAGTGAGCATGCGCAGTAGCTCATAGGCACTGTCTTCCCCCGCGTGATTAAAGCCACTCAGATGGCACCAGAGCAGGTGACCTTGCTGAAGAGCCTGCTCGGGCCTCCGGAGGCTTAACGGCGATCAAAGGCTATCTAGCCTTTATCTAGCCTTTGCTAGATAAGTAGCTGGGCGGGTGACGAGAGCGCTGGTCCCAGGCCTGGCTCCAGATGGGCTTGCATCTCTGGGGCCTTGGGTTCCCAGCTCTGTGGCCCTTGGTGGCCTTTCTGGCTCTTAGATCTTGGCTTTCCGTGGAACCAGTAAGTCCCGGTGTCTTCCTAAAGAGGCCGAGTCTGCCAAGTAGCACCTTCCAGCCAGGGGTTTGGGGGACCCAGCTGCTTCTTGCCACCTCCTCCCTGGTTCAGATGGGAAAACAGGCCCAGAGAGGGGAAGGGACTTGCCTGGTACACACAGCAAATCCCCGGGGTCCAGCCCAGCAGTGCTCAGCTAGAGTCTCGCGCTGTCTTGCTGCAGAGATCCTGAAGAAATCCTGAAGGAAGCCTGCATCCTCCCAGACTGGGGATGTTCAACCCTGGGGTCCAGGGGAAGTGGCTGAGGAGGGTTCGGCGCACAGTCGGGAAAACCCTGACTGCAGAATGCCTTTGCCGACCGGGAGCCAGAGGGCATGCAGGCAGTCTAGGATGGGATGGAACAGAAAGATGCTTGGGTGCATTTGGGATGGGGCTGGGTATCAGGCAAACTCTTAAAACTCCAGCACTTCTCAGGTCACCTTATATCTTAGGGGGTCCTAACAGACAGGGGCCATGGGGCATTGGGCAGGATGGGGACACTGGTCAGAGGGAGGTCTCCCCTGGAGGAGGTGAGGCTTGAGGAGGTGGCAGGAGGTGGGAGGGAGGGCTCAGCCCCTGCATTCAGCATTGTGTGTGTATGTGTGTGTGCGCGCACGCACGCATGCACACATGTGCACGCCCAGTCATGTCCAGCTCTTTGTGACCCAGTGGACTATATAGCCTGTCAGGTTCCTCTGTCCATGGAGTTCTCCAGGCAAAAATACTGGAGCGGTTTGCCATTTCCTTCTCCAGGGAATCTTCCCGACCCAGGGATTGAACCCACAGTCTCTTGTATCTCCCGCGTTGACTAGTGGGTTCTTTACCAGCTGAGCCACCAGGGAAGCCTGCATTCAGCATTGGCACCATCTTTTTGCAGGATACACGGCCCAGCCTGGGAGGTCCTGAAGTCACCCTGGGTTCTTAGAATACTGTTATACGTCCATACCAGTCAGTCACAGCCGCTGGTCAGTGTCCTTCCCCTCCAGTGCCCTGCCAGGCATGGCCTTCGCAGATTCCCTGCCCCCTGCCCACCCCCCCCCCCACAACCTCTGCATAACCCAGCAGCTAAAGGGTTAACATCCCACTGCTGCTGGGGTCCATCCTGATTGGCCGGTGCTCAGACTGTGCCAGGGTTTCCCTTTTTTGACCATCTCTGCTGTCAAGAGGACTGTACAGCCTGCACTCCCATGCTTATCCAGCTCCTGGGAGGATTTCAGCCTGAGATGTCTAGACAACCTCACTAAACAAAGTCCTGAAAGTGGCTCTGTGTCGTGGGCAGGAGCATGTGTGACCCGGTGCTGGAGATCCGAGCCTGTGTGTAGGAGGTGAGTTCCTGGGTTTCACGTTGAACCAACACCATTCACGTTTTGGTTAGGGGAGCAGCTACTTCTGCAGCTGCAGCTGTCTTTTTGTATCTTGGTTTTAATACTGAGAACTTCCGAGGTGTGTCTTTTCCCAGCTTGCTTCCACGTGGGGAGTTATGGTGTCAGGTACTTCTGCTGAGTGGCACCTTGGTAAAGGTTTCTGCTTCCAGACAAGGTTCCCAGAGTGTGACTGAAGCACCACCAGGTAGCCCCCCTGGGAAAGGTTGAACCCCAGAGGGGCTGTGGGGGCCCGAGCACCGTGCGCTGGAGCAGCACCCCAAGGAAACATGCCTCCCAGAGCGGGGCTGCTTCTCTGAGGGAGTCAGCTGCTTGGATGGCCCCAGGATCCATTCCTGTGGGCCGCCCAGTCTATAAACATTGAAATGTTGGCATGGAGGGACCTGGAGACATAGTCAGATCACTAGCTGACTTTGGGTGGGTGCAGCTTCTCATCCTTTGTGTCACACCAGACTGCCTGGTGCTCTCACCATCCCCACAGCTACCCACGTGACAGGTCTATTTTCCTTTCTTTTTTTTTCATTTTCAATCACATTTTTTGGTTGAAGAAATTCTGGCACAGAGAGGTCAAGTAACTTGCCCAAGGTCACACAGCTACTAGGGGGCAGGGCCAGGATTAGAGCTTTTAAGACCCCGCTGTACTGTGTGGAGGGGCTGAACCTTATCACAGTGGGTCCTGCAGGGAACTTTGTAATGACATGCAAGTCGGGAAAGTGGGGGCATGCCTCCTCCCGGGCCCCTCTCTGTTCTTTAAGAGTGGAGCAGCCTGAGGTGAGGGTCCCGGCTGAGGACTGCTTACCCCATGAACCAGACGATCATGCAAAACAACCCTACTTGTGCCACGTGGCCTCGCGGCTCTGCCATCCTCTGAGACCATCAGACATAAAACACCAGAAACCCACCCGCTTTCCCAGTGAGCAAGCTGCCCCATCCCTGGAAATGCCTCGCTTCAGGGGAAACCCACAGGCCCTTAGCAATCACTAATTCTGAGTCCTGTGTTAGGAAGGATTCTGAGGCCATATCTGGACCTGAAAGGGGAGCGTCTGTGACCAGTTATGAGGCTCACGTTGGATGCAGATGCAGTGGGTGCATATGATTGCTATCTTTGATCTCGTCCCTCCTTTACGCAGGGGTTTCCCAGGTGGCACTAGTGGTAAAGGAGCCGCCTGCCAATGCAGGAGACCTAAGAGATGTGAGTTCAACCCCTGGGTTGGGAAGATGCCCTGGAGAAGGAAAGAGTAGCCCACTCCAGAGTCGGACACGACTGAGAGACCCAGCACGCATGCGCTCCTTTACAGAGGGGGAAACTGAGGCTCAGAATGGGGAATAGCCTGTTCAGCATTACGCTGTCGATGTGGGCGTGGAGTCCCCCACCAGGCGGGCCCCTGCCCCCCTCCCAGTCGTGAGAACTGTGCTTTGAGGAAATGAGACGCTCAGCCCCTGTGGCAGCCCCCACGTGCTCAGCCACAGAGCCACGCCACCCACTGCAGCGTGGGTGGAGGCCTCCAGGGGCCTGGCCGGTTTGGATGCTATCGGGGGCCAAACCGAGGGCCGCTGCCCACCAGCAGTGCGCCTCTCTGCCTGGACACTGGCAGAGGCCCTCATCTTCCCACCGACGGCCGCCTAGTGTGTGCCAAGGGCTGCATCAGGCCCGGGGAGAGAGCCAGCGGCAGGCAACCTAGGAATCTGAATTAGCTAGAGGTGATGGTGATGACGGTGATGATGATGACTTTGCCTGTGGACACAGAACCAAAGAATAAGCGAGAAACAACTTGTTCAGACAACCAGTTATTTTGTCCATAAGAGGCCCCGTTCCTGTTTGGCCTGACCTTCCCCTCTGACCAGGGTTGGACGTGACTGCCTTGGCCCAGCCTCTGCTCTGAGGCTGTGATGGGATGGGAGGTGCCACCGAGTGGCCTGTTCTCATCTCACCCCTCATCCCGCAGGTGGGGCAGAGAGGCCCGGAGAGGAAGGGCCCAGCCCTACATCCCACGGCAGAACCAGGAGGACAGGTTCACCATGCCCGCCTCCGCCCAACACACACACACCCCAGTACCAGCTCCCAGTCTCCAGAGCAGTTTGGACCCTCTGGGGCTCCAGGCCTCCCCTGGTCTCTATTCGCTGACATGGGGAACCAGAGCACCCTTTCCCAGGAATCCTCTCCACCCTCCTTCAGGTTGAGCTGCAGGGCTCCCAGGCCCATTCCCAGGCATCACGGAGGCCTCTGGGCCACTCCGGGCGCCGCCCCCGCCCACCCCCGACAGCTTCTGTAAGCAGCCTTCCACCTGGGCATAGCCAGCATTTCCTAGGCCAGGGGACCAATCAACTTCATGAACCCGAGAATGTGAAAACTGCAAAAGAAATGTCTTTATTTTCTTAACCTTCTTAGTATTTACAAAGAACAAGAAGAACAAGACTGAGACTGGCTTACACAGTGGGTGGCAGGTGGACAGGTGGTATAACACTGGCTTCTGGGGTGGCCGGAGGGCCAGGGCAAGGGCCCCTGCCACCTGAGGTCTGCACAGGCACACAGGTGATCTGTTGGGCTCTGGCCTGCTTGCAGAGGGGCTGGCCTCCGGAGACTGTGCAGGCTGGCTGGACAGCTGCCTGAGAAGAAGCCCCTGCCCCATCCTGCCCTGCCCTCCTCCCCCCGGATGCAAAGGGTTGGTTCTCGCCCAGCCCGCTCCTCACCAGAAGAGCTCACTCCTGGGGGTCCCCGATATCCTGCAGGCCACAGGAGGAGCCGAGGCCCTCCCCGCCCGGCTAGAGGTAGCCAAAGACATTGAAGATGGGTGGAGGCACAGCCGGCTTGGTGGGGATGGGTTTCAGAACCACAGGTCTGTACACTTTCTGCCCCGGGCCCTCCGCGTCCTTGCAGAAGTGGGCCAGCTCGCCAGGGGAAGCCGCGCTTTTCCGCCAGAGGCCCAGGCTGGGCATCGGGCTCTGGGGCAGGGCCCCTGGAGGGCTTGGGTAGACGGGCTGTCCATGGTACTGGAAGGGGCAGCAACTCCAGGCACTGACGCGGCCCACCAGGGAGACCCCGGGCATCTTGAGCGGCTCCTTTTCAGCCAGCGCCCTGGGGGAGGCGGGCACCGGGGCGGTCTCGGGCCCCAGGGGCTCCAAGCCTTTACAGTGTTTCTTACCCTCGTAGGGAGGTCCCTCCCGGGGCCCCAGGCCCCCCTCCAGCCCCACAGGGTAGCTGTGGGTGGGCCGTGGCTCTTCCCAGAAGGAAGCAGGCAGCTGTCTTTTCCTCATGGGCACCTGGCCAGGCCTGGCAGCTCCTGGATCCGGCCCATGGAGGGTCCGCTCCTTAGAGAGGCTTTCCTCCCGGTCCGGGTTCCCCAACGCCTTCTCCTTGCAGCCCCCACCCCCGCCGGGGCTGGAACCGTGGCCAGATTCGAGGGGCAGCGGCCTCCCGGGCCGGTCCTCGGGCCCCCTTCTCAGGTGAGGCTCGGCCCCTCTGCCGGGGAGACCCCGCGGGAGCCGGGAATACTTCTGGGAGAAGCGTTTGAGCTGCTTCTGCAGGTACTTGCGATGGTCCACGGAGCGGCGGCAGGGCGCGGACTTGTCCAGGGCTGCCTTGATGTCACTGGACGCCAGGTTCACGAAGTTTAGCAGCATCTTCACGTCACTGTCGGATGCCATCACCAGGGGGCTGCTGCACCGGGCTTTCCATGAAGAGGCTGGGTTCTCCAGGCAGCTGGCAGCTCCAGGGAAGAGCGCAGAGCCGACCTGCTGTGGGGGGCGGACACAGCAGCCGTTGGTGTCTTTCCGAGCATCCACACTCCACCCTCCCCAAAGGCCACACGGCTGCAGACAGCAGTGGTCCCCACCTCAGCCCCCGTCAGCCCTAGACAGGGTCCCTGGGTCATGGGATACCCATTCAGGCTGCTAAGCATTTCCCAGAGCCTCTGGGATGCAACAGGGAGAAACCCATTTCATCCTCAGCAGGGCTCCGCACCTGCAGGTGAGGCTCAGACAGGTCAGGAGACTTGCCCAAGGCCTCCCCGGCCTACCGAGCGGCATTGTTGGGGTGGGACCCCACCAGCAAAGGTGTGGGTCTCCCCACACACCACGCTGCCTGCAGGGCATGACTTGCCAGCAAGGTTCTCATTTTCTGAGCCGAGGCAGCCGCTCCACTTTCAGGCAAGGCCAAGCCCCCTGGTTGCCTGGCGGTGCCCTCCTCCTCCCACCCCCGCCCCCAAGTCCTGCTAGCGGCCGCCCCCCACCCCCGCCTCGGTCCCCACGCTCCACCTACAAGTCTCACGCACGACAGGCGGGACCCCTGTCTGGCACTCAAGCCGAGGCCTGCCTGGCGGGCTGATCGCAGGCTGCGGGCAGCGGGGGCTCCGCCGTAGAAGCATCTGCAGCAATTTCATGCCTCCTCGGCCACCACCCCGCCCCTCCCCCAGGCCCCGGCCCACCCCACGCCCCCCACCCAGTAGGGCCTGAGCCGCCTGGGCCTCCACACTGACCAAGGGTGCGGGGGCCCGGGCCCCCACCCAGGCGGCCCGCAGAGGTTTCCCCCGCGCCGCAGACCTGGGCCAGGCCCGGCGCGGCCGGCGAGCTCCGTGGTCCGGCTGGAGGCAGTTGTGCCGCCCTCGAGTGGGCTGAATGGAGGACGACGGGTCCCCGGAGCTGGGGGGCCCTCAGGCCAATCAGGAGCGCCTCTCCAGATACAAAGCATCCCAAGCAGGCGGCGGCCCCGTTCCCACATTCTTTGCCGTCACAAATTGTCGCCATGGGGACCATCACAAAAAAGACAGCTCCCAAATGCAATCATTTCCCGGTAAATTTCTACCCTTCAGCCCACTCTCCCGTCTCGGCCTCCACGCCCCTCCTCCCCTTGACCTCGGTTCCCTGGCTTCTCGAGGGGGCGGGGTGTGTTGTGTGCGTGCGCGTATGTGTGTGTGTGTATGTGTGTGTATTTAAAAAGTCCAAGATTGAGGAGGGGCCGGACCCAGAAGAGATGGGCTTGCAAACCTCCCCCCAAGACTCCGGGCCTGCAGCTGCCATGCTCCAGTGCAGACAGACAATCGGACGGGGTAAGCCAGGGCGGGCTGCTTTCCCCGCTGTCCTTGAGTGTTGAGTGGCTCACTCGCGCTGTCTCTCTCTCCTCTCTCTCTCCCCACCCCCTTCCCAAGGCATGGGCACTGGCGGGCCTGCGAGGGCGGGCAGCACGCTGATGTTGGAAAGGTGGCCAGGGAAGGGCCCTCTAACGAGGTGCTGGGATATCCATGGGAAGAGGGCCGGAGCTCTCAGGAATCTTGTCTTTATGTTTGCTTCCTCAATTGAGCTGCACAAAGCCTGAATTGCCCATTCAGTGAGGCCGGACAAAAGGTTGGCGTTGCACGGTCCCCTAGCATTTGTAGTCAAACAGTTAGGGACTTAAATCGAGTCGTCATGATGGAGAAAGAGGTGGACAAAGCCCATAGAATTGCCATCAGCAAACATTTTCCTGTGTCATATTAGCCGGTCTCCATGGCTCCCCTTGGCCTGGGGACAATGGCACAAGTTTGCACACTTGGCCACTGTCACCGTGCCAACGCCGGCGGGGCCGCAAGCAGGGCCGCTCCGAGCAAGCAAGGGACCCGGGGCCGCCGCTGGCCCTGCCCACCGGCGGCCCGAAGGAAGGTGCGGCCGCAGGCGGAGGGGACTGCCTGGGAAATCCGGATGGGCGAGGCCTCCGTGCCAGCCAGCTGGGTGGGCCCCCGACACGCCACCCTCTGCCTCTTCTCTCCTCTCCTCCTCTCCTTCCTCTTCCTCTCCTTCTCCCCTTTCCTCTGCCGCCTGCTCCTCCTGCCCCCTAGCCAGCCGACACCAGCCCCAACCTTGACATCACAAACTAATATGCCAAGGATGCTCTCCAAAGCCCCCTCCCCACTCCCAGACTGGGAGCCCTGGCAGCGCAGCAGGGCTCACCCACGCGTGATGCTCCCACCCCTTCCTGCTGGCCAATGGGCAGCCACTGCCAGCGCCAGGCGCCTGCAGGCAGCACGGGGCTCCAAGTCACCTCCCCTCTGGCCTGAGGGTCCCCACAGGCTGAATGAGGGGTTTGGAGAAGATGGTTTAGGCACTGAGGAGCCCGGTGTAGTGTTCTCCGGGCCCTCTTCCCCTGCTGCTGAGATGAAGGCGTGACCTTGGACTGGAGCATCCCGATTGTGAGCCCCTATCTGCAGCAGCCTCTGCCTGCCCCAGGGCTAAACCACTGTCATTTTACCACCCCCCGCCTCCTCCGAAATGTAGGGGTTATTTGCTTCTCCAGCACAGTCCAGCCCACCCTGCCTGGTGGAAGCAGGAAACATCCTTTCTGCTCCAAAGTGCCCTGCCCACACGGCTGGAGAAAACACTTTGCTGCCTGAGGTCACCCGGTTAGGCTCTGGAGCAGTGCTGATCATGGCACCACATTGCCTACTGCCGGGGGCACCCAGCCTGGTGTGAATTCCAGCCCCTCCACAACCTAGCGCCGGCCCAGGAACCACCTTCTCCATTATTCTCTGCTGGGAGACTGACCTCAAATTACCCCAGCCCCAGTGCCGCCTAGACTCCAGACACTGTGTGTCTGCTCCCGCCAGTCTGTCGAGTACGCATTCCCTCCTCTAAGAGCATGGAGATGCTCTCCACACACTCCGCTTAGATCTCAGCGCACCTGCGTCCCTCCAGCCCACCTGACGCCGCCCGCCTGTGGCGTCATCCCCTTGCTTCTCCACCAGTGATGGACTCCCATCCCCAACAGGTCCCTGAGCCCTGTGGGAGTCGAGTCTGCATCTTTAAAAATCTCCAGAGCTCTTAATAGGGGCTGCTCTTCCACCAAATATAGGAGAGGGGTAAGGAAGGAAGGGAGGGAGAGAAAAACGGGGTGAAGACAGTGGAGACTTGTAGAGCACCTGGTACCCACTGAGATGCACGCACGTGGACCAGCTCACGTGGCCCTGGGACAGCTCCGAGGGTGTGGGTGTGGCCAGCCCAGAGGAGGAGTGCAGGGGGCAGCTAGTTTCCTAAGCGCCCACAGCTACTAACTGGTAGAACTTGAACCTGAAGCCAGGACTGTCTGTATACAAAACCCATGTCGGTCCCCCCAGGCCCTGATGCTCCCCTGAGCTGTTGGGTTGGACGGCCTCTCAGACCAGGCTTTCTGTGTCAAGTACTGGCTTCAGCTCTTCTGTCCTTCAGCAGGACGTGACTCTCAACTTCTGACTCAGGAACATGGGAGCTGCAGCCATGGGTGATCAGGCGAGGTGAGGGGTGGCGACTGTGGCTTGAACTGTGGCCTGAGAACCTGAACCACTGCCCTGCACGGACCCAGCCCCACCCCAGGCTTCAGGTCACACCTCTGGGACTGCCTGTGACCCTTGCCGAGGAAGCCTTCTCCATGATTTTCTGATGGCCCGTATACACAGGTGGAAAGACATCACTGATAATAATCATGCCTTGCTCTGGAGAGAATGTCCACAGTCATTCTCTCGGTGTGGTCCTGGGTCTGTGCAGGGAAGCAATTGTTCTCCCTATTTCCAGTGGGTGACACGTCCAAAGACAAGCTTCAGACTTCTGCTTCTTGGGCCCAACTCAGGCAACCCTGTCCCCTCAGCACTCTTTCAGGCCCAGCTCAAACATCCAGGAAGTCTCACCAACGTGCCAGCATTATATATGCCCTCATCCTCCATTTCCAGAGAAGGCAATGGCAACCCACTCCAGTACTCTTGCCTGGAAAATCCCATGGATGGAGGAGCCTGGTAGGCGGCAGTCCATGGGGTCGCAAAGAGTCGGACACGACTGAGCAACTTCACTTTCAGTTTTCACTTTCATGCGTTGGAGAAGGAAATGGCAACCCACTCCAGTGTTCTTGCCTGAGAATCCTGGGGACAAGGGAGCTTGGTGGGCTGCCGTCTATGGGGTCGCACAAAGTCGGACATGACTGACGTGACTTAGCAGCAGCATCCTCCATTTACAGATTCAAAGATGAAGTCTAACCTCCTTGATTTAACACAGAAGGCTGGCACAGAATGTTATTGTTGTTCAGTCATCAAGTCATGTCTGACTCTTTGAGACCCCATGGACTGCAGCACGCCAGGCTTCCCTGCCCTTCGCTGCCTCCTTGCTTGCTCAAACTCATGTGCATTAAGTCAGTGATACCATCCAACCATCTTATCCTCTGTCAGCCCCTTCTCCTCTCGCCCTCAATCTTTCCCAGCATCAGGATCTTTTCCAGTGAGTCAGCTCTCCACATCAAGTGGCCAAAGTATTGGAGCTTCAGCTTCAGCATCAGTTCATCCAATGAATATAGAGGGTTGATTTCCTTTAGGGTTGACTATTTTGACCTCCTTGCAGTCCAAGGGACTCTCAAGAGTCTTTTCCAGCACCACAATTCAAAAGCATCAATTCTTTGGCACTCAGATTTCTTTATGGTTCAACTCTCACATCTGTACATGACTACTGGAAAAACCATAGCTTTGACTATATGGACCTCTGTCAGCAAAGTGATGTCTCTGCTTTTTAATATGCTGTCTAAGTTTGTCATAGCTTTCCTTCCAAGGAGCAAGCGTCTTAATTTTGTGGCTGCAGTCACTGTCCACAGTGATTTTGGAGCCCAAGAAAGTAGCTTTTCACTAAATGTTTCATGAATTAAGTACTTTGGACATTCCATCTCAAAGAATTTACCCTGTGGACTAGAAGCAACTGCTTCCTGTCTGGTATTATTGTTTACACACCCCACCCATCCAGCAACACCTGTGTGA